CTAAGGATTTTCCTTTGAGCTCTTTGAGAATTATCCAACCGAAAAGAAGAATATATTCGAGGGGTAAATGAGAGATATTTTGTTTCACCATAGAGAATTATTTGATTCTTGTATTCCAAAGAATTTCCATGATACATCAGAACAATAATTTATGGGATTTAATGATTACTAAGAGCAGATTCATCCTGTTAACTTTAACTAGCTGGTCTGGTCATTTGATTTGGCAATGGTAATAAAGATAATAACGAATAGAAAGAAATTAATGGCTTGGACCGTGTAACAACAGTCAATTTCTGGTAGAAGGTTCCATGGGAACAATTATTTATTTCAGGGTACCTCATCTCTTTTTTTAAAAGAGGAAGTATGGGGAGAAATGACAAGAAGATATTGGAACATCCATTTGGAAGAGATGATGGAAGCAGGAGTTCATTTTGGTCATGGTACTAGGAAATGGAATCCTAGAATGGCACCCTACATCTTTGCAAAGCGTAAAGGTATTCATATTACAAATCTTACTAGAACTGCTCGTTTTTTATCAGAAGCTTGTGATTTAGTTTTTGATGCAGCAAGTGGGGGAAAAGAATTCTTAATAGTTGGTACCAAAAATAAAGCAGTTGATTTAGTAGCATTGGTTGCAATAAGGGCTTGGTCTCATTATGTTAATAAAAAAATGGCTCGGTGGTATGTCAACGAATTGGTCCACTACAGATGCGAGACTTTATAAGTTCAGGGACTTGAGAGCGGAACAAAAGATGGGGAGACTGAGCCGTCTTCCGAAAAGAGATGCAGCAATATTAAAAATACAATGATCTCATTTGCAAGCATATTTGAGTGGGATCAAATATATGACAGGGTTACCTGATAGTGTAATCATTGTTGATCAACAAGAAGAATATACGGCTCTTCGAGAATGTGTTACTTTGGGAATTCCAACGATTTGTTTAATCGATACAAATGTATGTATTATAATTTATAATTAATATGGACCGGGTAGCAGGAATCGAACCCGCATCATTAGCTTGGAAGGCTAGGGGTTATAGTCGACGTCGATTCATCATTTTTAACGTCTCTAATTCAAAACCGAACATGAAACTTTTCTTTCATTCGGCTCCTTTATGGAAGATAGATAGATTCCCAAATCGAAGGCGTGAACGAAATAAATAAAAATGAAATTTGACCCATAACATCTATGTCAGCTTTTCTGTTTGAATGTATCCAAAATGACTCGCTTTCTAGATGATCCCTCTAGAAGAGGAGAATTATAACAATCCTTCTAGTTACTTCGTTCTCTATTTCTACTTGCGAGAACCCTGAGGCAAAGAATTTTGTTTCCACTGAGCTAAAATAATATGTCGATGGCTCTAGTAAACCAAAGGCATCGTTTAATAGCTATTTTGCTTCAATCTCCCCTTTACAAACCAAAAATTGAAGATTTAGTTATAATTAGAAATAAACTTTTCTATACTTAATCCATGGATCTTTTACTCATACTCATTCAATTGGAAGTGTTGATCCAATTCAACAAAAAAATTATGTTTCGCGATTTCATAATCCAATTTTTCAATTTCTAATTGACCCTTGGATACAAATTGCGAGAATTCATATTCTTCCTCGAATCTGTCATTGAGAGGTAAAAGATTAAATCCTTTTAAGAAATAAAGTTGGACCAACCGACCGTCCAGTTACAAACAACAAACAATAATGAGGAAATTCAAACTACAGAATACTTTAAAAAAAAAATAAAATTATAGGGCTATACGGACTCAAACCATAGACCTTCTCGGTAAAATAGATCAAACTTAGTATTTTCAAAATGATTCAAACTGTTTCAAAGACCGAACATGCATTTTTTTTGCATTGGGCTCTTTCATTAACCGATATAAATATCAGTTAGTCCACCATATCTTTTCTTGACAGAAAGATAATGAGATGGCTCCATCGAACGTACTCCCCCCTGGATCTAGGAATAGCGACATGAACTAAATGACCTGTCGAAGCCAAGGAACTTACTCCGAAGAGTCCTAACAAATGATGATTGAGACGAGATTTGACATTTTTGAATTATATACTCTATAACATAGGACTTATCCACACAAGCAACAGAGAACATACAAAAGCTTTGGAATATTATTTTCGGGCACTAGAACGAAACCCATTTTTACCACAAGCTTTTAATAATATGGCCGTGATCTGTCATTACGTGCGACTATCTCCACTATAGAAAGAAAGAAAAAGAGAAAATCCACTAGTAAATACTAGAAACAAAATAGGCTTTCTACATATGCATCGTTCAAAGCAATGATTTTTATCAGTTGTAGTAAAGAAAGAGACTTCATAGAAGCCGAAAATGAAGAAATGGATCTGCCTATATACTTGGTTCTATGGATAAAGGATCTAATTGATAAAGAAAGCACCGTAAAGATTAATTAGCGAGGTTTTGGGACGATACAATAAGAACTGCTTACTTATGTCATGATATGAGATAAAAGTTGTCATAATATGATCCAGGTCATAATCTATATGGGATTCCCAAAGTTGTTAATAGAGGGTAGACCACGAGGAATTGAAGAATTACAGATCAATGTACAAAAAGACTTTAATTCTGTGAACCGAAAACTCAACATTGCTATCACAAGAATTGCAAAACCTTATGGACAACCTAATATTCTTGAAGAATTTATAGCCGGACAATTAAAGAATAGAGTTTCATTTCGAAAGGCAATGAAAAAAGCTATTATGACCTATTAGAAGTAGAAGGTGCTCTAGTGGGATCCTCACAAACATAAAAAGATTGTAGTCAGTTTGATAATGATCGAGTGACATTGCTTCTTCGGTTCGAACCAAGGAATCCCTTAGATATGATGCAAAATGGATCTTGTTCTATCGTTAATCAGAGATTTCTATATGAAAAATACGAATCGGAGTTTGAAGAAGGGGAAGGAGCCCTTGACCAGCAACAGATAGATGAGGATTTATTCAATCACATAGTTTGGGCTCCTAGAATATGGTGCCCTTGTGGCAATCTATTTGATTGTATTGATAGAATGGGTCTGCTCTGGGACGGAAGGATTCGAACCTTCGAATAGCGGGAGCAAAACCCGTTGCCTTACCACTTGGCTACGCCCCATTTAAATTTCTATTCGACACTAATAAACAATAATTCTGATGATCGATTTAACCTATGATCAAAAAGATATACCTTGGTTATATTTCATCTCTTCAACAAGTTTAGTAATGAGTATAACGGCCCTATTGTTCCGATGGAGAGAAGAACCTATGATTAGCTTTTCGGGAAATTTCCAAATGAACAATTTCAACGAAATCTTTCAATTTCTTATTTTACTATGCTCAACTCTATGTATTCCTCTATTCGTAGACTGCTTTAGGTATCATCACCATGACTTTCAACCTAAATGGTTTTAATTCAACCAATCTGTAGTTGATAGTCAAGGTCGTGTAATTAACACTTGGGCTGATATCATTAACCATGCTAACCTTGGTATGGAAGTTATGCATGAACGTAATACTCACAACTTCCCTCTAGACTTAGCTACTGTCGAAGCTCCGTCTACAAATGGATAAGACTTCGTTCTTAGTCTATACGAGTTGTTGAAGTTAAAGGAGCAGTAACAAAATTCTTGTTCAATCAAGATTCTTGGTATTGCTCCTTCATTTAGTACTTAATTTTACTCACATAAGTATTTTTTATATTTTTGTTTCTTTACTTCAAACTTCAACTTAGGAAAAATTATTCCTATAGTTTGGTTTATGATTTAATATGATACTTCATATTCTGTACTAATCTGGTCTGTACTAATCTGAAATTTTTTTTAATTAAATATGTTTTTTCGATTTGTAAAAGGTGAGCTTAACCCTTGGGGATGTGGTAATACATCTAAGAAATTATTCCATCAAACATACTCCCCCCTGGATCTAGGAATAGCGACATGAACTAAATGACCTGTCCAAGCCAAGGAACTTACTCCGAAGAGTCTTGACAAATGATTATTGAGATGAGATTCAGCATTTTTGAACCATGAAACACTCGATCTGACGGAGCAATGCTGCGTGGAGGTAGAAGGCCCACGGGTCACGAACTTCTTTTCCCAGAGAAGAAGCAATCTAAACGAACCCGAAACATACCATTGGGAAGTGATTAAGCAATTAAACCTTCATGAATCCATTTTTGTTCTTTCATCCCAGGTAGCCCCTTTGAAGTATCAACTAATGGAGGAAGAGTGATATTGGACAAGTGCAACTTGTCAGACATATTGGGTCATATGGGATTTCCCCCTTCTCTCCCCCGATCGAGATATCCTCTGTTTTGCCCAAGAAAGATTGATTGAACCATCAATAATTGGAATAATGGTATCCGTTGTTATTTGATTTGATACATTGCGGTCAGTACTATTGGTGAATTAGGTGAAGGTTTAAGGTACGTAAAAGAGAGGGATTCGAACCCTCGGTAAACAAAAGCCTACATAGCAGTTCCAATGCTACGCTTTGAACCAGAAAAAGAATGAAAGAGTTTGTCATTTTTTGTTCTATGAACGGAAAGACAAAGAAATGACCCTTATTCCTCGTCTACAAATATCCAAAATTTGATGCCTAATACCCCATAGATAGTTCGAACTGTATAGGAACAATATTGGCACTAACCTTAGATCCTTGCTCTTGAAAAATGACTCAATACTTTTTGCTCGAGCTCCATCCTACACTATTTACAACCCAAAAAAAAAATTGGGAGGGTTCTAAGGCAAACGATGTCGAGTCAAGAACACCTTCATTCCTATATAAAATGGTGGATGCAAGAATCCACAGTAGATCATGTCCTTCAAGTCACACATTGTTTTCTACCACATCGTTCAAACGAAGTTTTACCATAACATTCCTCTAATTTGGAGCCGGCATGCAATTGATTCAATATGGAATCATGAATAGTCATTGGCTCAATAGGTTGTTCCTTTATGCGTAACATAGTAATTATCCTTTTGCAATTGGGAGAGATGGTTGAGTGGACTAAAGCAGCGGATTGCTAATCCATTGTACGAGTTATCCGTACCGAGAGTTCGAATCCCTCTCTTTCCGTTTTCATGGATGACTTGAAATTTCTCTTTCGAATTCTAAAAAAAAATCTTGAGCTCTTTTGATTTTATCATAGTGAAATGTGTGGAATAGATAAAATTATTAGAAAATTCAAAAATAGAAAAGGTTAGTTAATTCATGTTTGTGGGACCCACAAAAAAAAAAAACTAAATAAAACAACCATGTGGTAATAATTTAGAGTTGAAATTGGACAATTTGAAGGTATCCACGTGGATATCAACAGCTATATAGAAGTAGTATAGAATAGATGGGTTAATTCCATATCAGAACCTAAGTTATCTTAAAATGACAAATAAGTGCCTACTTTAAAAAGACTTCCTTTCACATATCCAATGTTTCAAGATTTGGACAAATAAGGACCTACAGTCAAATTTGGTTAACAGCCGTGAGTAATCTTAATTCTATTACCAAAAATACCCTTAGTCATAATTGACCAATGGGTCTTGGTCCTAACATGTATATACATATAGTCTTTGGAGTAGAATCCTCTATGGTTATCACCGTAACCGGATTTGCCTAACCCTTTAAGGTGGCCACGTGTCCCCTTTGACACCCCTGAACTGTGGTTCAAATTCACCCAACCATTCTTGGTTTTAGAAAAAAAAATTAATTCTATTTTTAAAAATTAAAAAACTATTTTTAGGGTTTTTTTTAATATTAAAATATTAAAAAAAATAGAATTAATAATTTTTTTCTAAAAACCAAGGATGGTGGGTGAACCCTAGGGGTGGGTGAATCTGAACCACAGTTAAGGGGTGTCAAAGGGGATAGGTGGCCACCTCAAAGGGTGATAACCGGATTTGCCAAATCCAGTCATCACCGTAGAGGATTTGACTCCATAGTTCCTTACGGTTTAGAAAAGGATTGAAATCCTTTATGGTTATAACCGGACTTGGGGAGTCTGGTTACATCCTTGAGGTCGCCACGTGTCCCTTTTATACTCCTTAATTGTGGTTAGGATTCACCCACTTATCTTAGATGTGTGAACCCTGAATAGGTGGGTGAACCGTGGTTAGAAAAAATATTATTAAAATAATTTTTTTTTTCTAAAACCATGAATAGGTGGGTGAACTCTGATGTGTGAATCTTAAGCACTATTTAAAAAAAAAGGACACATGGTGTAAGGATTTTGTAGGATCATTATTTTCGATCATCGAGAAGAGGCAGTCGTGGACGTAAACCAACAATATAGGACAACCCCCTTAAACCAGATCTGGGTGATAGAAGTTTATCTGAGAGTGTCTTTTTGCATACTCTTGTCTCTCTTATATAGAGAATCACCTGTAACCGATACCTTTATGGCTATCTGTAACCGACGCCTTTATGACTGTCGTTACACTATCTGACCAAGGGTTTCAGATCCCTTCTTGATGATTAAATCAAATGGCTATTATAGCCAATAATTCTAATACTCCCACTTGGCTTTAAGAGCCATTTTGTATAACATTTACCGTAGCCTTGTTCAATCAACATGTCCGATAGACATTTCTTCGTTAATGATTTAACAATAATCATTTCAGACGATGAGATCTAGAAGAATATAAATTTTCTTTTCCAGCCACATCTCTAACACATTGTTATGCTTCTATTAGCGTATTAATGTCAACTCGGTTATTGGAGTATAGATTCATGGATCCATCGGTCTTTACTAACTTTAAATTATCAATTAAGTGTTTTAACCAGATGATTCTCAAGCAGTACCACGAAATGACTTGTACTCTGCTTTAATGGATGTCTATTTCTTATTATTTTACAACACCTCTCTAAGAGTAAACTTATAACTGGATATCAACTTTTATTTTGTCAAGGTTATCACCCTAATTAACATTTTCATATATCGAGTTGGGTTATGCTTGTATAACAAGTTTTTCCTCTTGACTCATATTTTAATCTTAGGGATGATCACCTTCTTAGGGCTCTGTGAGCGCAGGATTTCACACTCTGGAATTAATCTCATGGGTTTTGTTAAGTGTTTAGAGTCGCCACCTATTCATTCAGAAGAGATAAGTCCCTCGAGATGTTGGATAAGGTCTTGGTCTCCGATCAAAGATCGGGATAAGAGGTTTGGTTAAATTCGGGGAAGGGGTTAGGCACCTCGACACTTCCACATATAGTGATTCCCTACTTGTTAGTTTTAAGCCAAATTAAAATTCAAAGTTAATCAAATGCCAAGGTGTTTAAGTAAATACTAAGCAAAGAAAGAAAAGTTAACTAGGGTCGAACCCGGATTGGGTTGCCTACGTACTCATATTGGGGTGAGATCAGACCAAGCGTAGTTTTAGCACTTGAGCTCGTGCTAAGGCTAGGGGATGTGTGTGTGTGCATCAAGGGTGACTAATGGTCCTAATCCAGTGATTAGGGTTTTGGTTGACTGGGGTTGGTCAATGTGCAAAGTATGAGCCCGATAGACCAAGAGGTAGTCCGATAGACTGGGGTTTGGGTCCGGTAGGCCAAGGATGAAGCCCGGAGGCTAAGGGGTGTGTTAACTCAGGGTTAGGGTTGCTAACCGGGGTTAAAAAGATACTAACCATGGTTAGGGGTGCTAACCATAGCTAAAAAGTCCAAGAATGTAATTTTGTTTGGTCTTTTATTTTTCTGAAATTTTTTAGATTTTTCTAAATTTTTGTAGGGTTAAGTGGTGCTTAACTATGATTAAAGTTAACCGGGAGCCGTTTTAACCATGGTTAAGGGTCAAGGTTAGGCAAAATAGGACCAAGAAGATGTGGCAGGGCCTAGAATGGCCTCCTACCAGGTCTAGGCCCTACAAAAAGCCCAAGATAAAAAATTTAAAGAATGAAGGTAATCAGATTACCTCCATTACAGTGAATTTTTAACCTGAGTTTGAAAGGGCTTAACTGGGGTTAGAGATCACCTCGGGGTTAGAGCTTGAAGTATAGGGAAGAAAATGGACTTGATTTGAGCCCTAGAGCTGCTCAGGTGTGGGCCCCACAAGGGCCCAAAGTTGCAAAAAAAAGTGCCTGTATTGGCGGTAATCTGATTACTGCCAACCACCTGGAGGTTGTTTTTGGGTCTGTCGGTAATTAGATTGCCGACAGTCTATTAACCAAAGTTTAGGGCCCTGCTAACCCTAGTTAGGTTTGTGCCTTGGGTCTAAAATTTTACAGGGAGGCAAGTGATGTCCAGGGCTTCCCATTGGGCCTTGAGTGGGCCCCAGAGCATAAGGGATGTGAGCCCCACAGGGGCCTAAAGTCACTGCAAATTAAGGTAAAAATTATCGGTAGTATTATTACCGACAGTAAGCTAGTCAGGGTTTGGAGGTCCACTAACCATGGTTAGAAGATGAGTTAAGGCCTGAGTTTTGGTGGGGACTTGGACAAGGGCCAGGGCTACCTAACCATGGCCCTGGAACTGACCAGGGCTTGAGTTAACCTGGGTTAATAGGCGAGTTACAGTGACTGCACATAGGGTCGGTAATGGGATTACCGACCACTAGCAGATTTAAAAAAAAAAACTTGATTTACCCCATTGGCCTTGAACCAACAGGAGTCTGAAGGTTCCCTCATGGACCAAGGGACCCCTAGACCCTAAGGGGTGATGTCATGCATGCTGTAATGGGGTGAACCCGAGATAAAAGGCCTCAAGGTATTCCCCATACCTATGAGGAAGGTAGGGGAGTCCTATCCCTGGCTGGGGAAGCTAAAGAACACGTATAAATGATAAATGAGACCCCTAGAATAGGACCAGGGGTCCCTTACAATGACTTCAAGTAAAGAACAGAGAGGGGAGGTGGTCTACCCTCTACAAATCGCCGGTGGTGCTGCTGCGGTGGTGAGCTTGGGTGGCGTCGAGTGGTGTAGTGAAGAGGGGGGCTTGAGTACCTTTGCGGGTTCTAAGATGACCTAGGGGTGGAGTGGGCTAGGAGAGGCGACTAGTTGAGCTGGGGGGGTTTTGGCAGAGGTTGGAGGCTAGAAATTGGTGTGAGTTTTCACTGTGGGGGTGACTGCTTATACAGAAGAAGGGGAGAGGCTTGAGGGCAGTTAAGTCATCCCCACAGGCGTGGGGGACCAAGCAAAGGTGAGCCAAGTGGTAGCAGAGGGAGACTGATATGCTGGTGCAGAAGATCTCAGGGTGGCGGTAATCGAATTACCGTCATTCTGAAAACAGGGTATTTTTAGGGTGTCAACAATTGATTACCGACGCCCTAAGCTTTTTGCTTAATAGGGCCAGGCCCTGCCACACTTGTGCTGAAAGCAAGATAAGCTTGCCATTTCAGGGACTTTCCTGCCTAAATTTTGAACTATGAGGGTGTGGGCCCCACCCTAGTGGACCCTAGAGGATTGTGGGCCCAAGTTTGGGCCCACAAGGGCCTAGGCTTTGGGTTTTTAGGACTTGGAGTTGCTAAATGGGCCTTGAGCCCGTGAAGGCTTTGGCCTAGGTTTAGGCTAGGTCTAGGGCTAGGGTTAGGTTTAGGACTAGGTCTAGGGCTTATCTAGGGTTAGACCTGGAGTTTAGCTAGGGTTATCCTAGGTTTTAGGCTTAGGGATTGCTAATGGGCCTTGAGCCCGAGGTTAGGGTATACCTAGGGTTTTAGCTAGGATTTAGGGCTTAGGGCATACCTAGGGCTAGGGTTTAGGATTTGCCTATGATCTAGCTAAGGTTTAACTAAGGCTTAGGGGTATACTTAGGGCTTGTCTAGGGTTTTACAGGGGACTCCACTGGGGAAGGACTGTGGTTACAGGGTGTAAAAATTGGGTGATTACAGTTGCCCCTCTTTACCAGAGAGCGCCGAAATGGCAAATTAACGGCAAAGACTGGAATCATCCTATTTTTACACCGAGATGGATTGAGATGGATGGTGAGATGTGTGCATGTTGTGCCTATGTTGAGTGTGGTGAAGTGACGAAAACCATCCCTAGAGGATAGCGAGTAGCTGGGGATGAGAGATGGATGCAGGGATGGCGTGGCCCGGAGGAAGGTGTTGCTCGGAAGTGACGAGGGGATTGATTGAAACGGTGTTTCTG